AAGTTTAGATAAAAATAATAATTTATTTACAATTAAATTAATAAGCTGAGAATTATAAATTAATACCAACCTCAAACCTGTCAAACCATACATTGAATTGAGGTATCCATTTAGGATGCTTTGATATCTGACTCCACTGAAACAATGGAATCTCCATCGATGATTTAAACGTCGATGATATTACTTGGGCGGCTTCAATGTTTGTGAACCTGAAAATAAATAAAATAAATTCAATAGTGATTATTTCATAAATTATATTGTAATATAAAAAAGAAAAAACTAAAACCTTAACAAATTTACATTGAAAGGTCATCCTTCCACTATGCCTCATACTGGCGGGTAAATTGATTCCTCTGCGAAGGCACGCCGCCTCTATGCTGTTAAGTAGCGTTGGAAGAGGTAGCATCGATTGACGGCGCAGGTGGTGTAGGTGTCTCTTCTTCAGAGGCACCTAAAGAGATATCCTCATCGCTGCTAGACGAACTAGCTACGACCTTACGTGAGCGACCAACTCTAGTTTTTGATCTACACATCTACATAATTTTATACAAATAATTATATAAACAAATGTTAAAAAAAAATTTCGATAGCCCCTCCCCTATACTGGATACTACCCAAATCCACAAACCTACACATATTAACAATAGCCACAACCAATTTACCAAATCTAAACTAATTATTCCAACATATTCAATTCCTAATCCTAAGGTAAATTCAACATTAAAAATTACAGTTCCACAAATTATTCAATAATTATGCCAATACAACAAAACAATAAATTAAAAAAAAACTCTAGAATAACAATCAAAATAAATTGAAAAAATTAAACCCATATCATGCAATAATAAAGTAAAATTAATAATTATTCCAACATATTCAATTACTAATCCTAAGATAAATTCAACATTAACAATAAATATTCAACAAATTAACAAATAATAATTATGCCAAAACAACAATAAAAAATATTCAATAATTTCAAAAAAAAAAACTATAGACTTTAGCAATGAATTATGCAAACAAAAACTATAGATTTTATCTACATTGCAAAAAATACACCAAAAAAAAAACATAACAAAAAAATAGCAAAAAAAACCATTAAAGTAAAATGAAAAACAAGAAACACTAACCTTTTCAATTGATGGAGATTCACTATAAAAAAAGCTTGATATCGTCGGTGAAGAAGGGAGATCAGAATGGAGAGGAAAAGTGTTGCGATGTCGTGGTCGCAAAAATTAATTACCCTAGCTTAAAACACAACACATAAGATAGTATAGAGCAAACAAGGGGTCGATCTCACAAGGAAGATTTAGTTCAGATTTTTATGTTATACGTTATGCAATTTGGGGGTTTTGATTTGTGATGATCTAAACTATGGAAGATATTAAACTAGCAAACAAAATAAATTGAAATCGAAATTTATCAAGAAAACAAACCTTGGTTGCAAGCACACATCCACCAACGGAAATTAGAACCGATCCTTGAAATAAAACTACAATTTATATTCTGAATTTTTATCTTTTCTTAATGTTGGTTAATTAACAGATCCGCCGTATAACTAACCCTAACCAACAAACAATCACAATGTCCGCATTAATGATTTAGTTCAATGACAGCCCTAAGAACTAGATATTTGAGTGTTCTCCCTAAGTTTAATAATGTAGTTCCGCCACAATTATCAAGCTTAGTTGCTTCACAAGTTCATACATCACAACTCCGGTTTTGATATCAAACTTAACAATAAATTGTTCACAATAATAACTTAGAGTTCCGCTCTAGCAATTATCAACAACAATCATAGAAAATATGCATAGGAAAACAACCATACTTATTCATAATATAAACTGAAAATAAAAGGAAGAATAAATCTCACGGTTCTTGAAATCTGAAGGTTTGTTGTGTCCTTGCAACCAAGAAAAGAGCTTAGTCTTGCATAACTATTGAACAACTACTCTTAAAGAATGAAGAGAGCATGATTTTTTGGGTTTGTAGATGAGAGAATTTGTGTTTCTTAACTTCTGGCTGCTGCCCCCCTTCTCTCCTCTCTCTCTTTCTTTTTATATGCTAAGAAACCCTAGTTCCTAATTTACAAAGTAGTACTCCCTTAAGTTGACAATTGACATTTAAGTACTTCAATAACTAATTTACAAAGTAGTCCTCCCTAATTTACAGCCTTAGAGCCATCGGTGATGTGGTGGCATTTTGATTAATTATTTTCAAACTCTCTGTGAAATGCCAACGGATTTGTATTCCGTCAGTGTTGCCGTCGGTGATGTGGTGGCATTTCAAGTAATTATTTCATGTTACAAAATATATCATCCATGATCAATAATTATTTCAAGTAATTATTTCATAATTGTGGCATTTCAACTAATTATTTCAAGTAATAAATATTTTGTGTTTCAAAATATATCATCCATAATCTAAATTACATGAAAAAAAGGGTTTTACATAGGGTTTCATTTTGGTAGTTAGTCAGAATTTTCTTCTTCATCATCATCAATTGAATTGTCATCACCTTCATCACAATCTTCAATATGAATATCATCTTCTTCATCGACAATTGCTTGTCCGCTAGAGCTTAAAACAAAATTCAAATCCTCTGCATCAACATCAATAAGACTATCATCGAAAACACGAAAATTTGAATTTTCTTCCAATTCAATCGAAAGAGCAACTCGATATGGTTCAACCACCTCACTAACTTGAAAGACTTCATCTCGCACACTTGTGTCTTCGTTCTCATCCTGAACAACCTCGACACGACCCCGGGGTTTCATTTTTAAAACGGATAACCAATCCACTCTTGATCGATCCTTTCTAAATGAAGGGGTGTATGTGTAATAAACTTGTTGGCATTGCTTTGGGAGAACAAACACATCGTTTATATTGCGGAGTCTAGCTTTTGAGTTGATTTTGACTAGACCATAGTGCGAATCAACTCTAATTCCTCTGTCAGTCGTGTCATACCAATAGCATTTGAATAAAAACACTCTATTCTGCTCGTTATAATATTGCAGTTCGACAACTCTTCTAATCTACCATAATAGTCAACTTCTAACTCACTACTAGTGGATCCCTTAACACAAACACCGCTGTTATATGTCTTTCTTCCTTGCCCATATTCTTCAATATGGAAAACATATCCATTGACAAAATACCTGTTGTAGCACTTACATTTTCTTTAAGGCCCTAGGCTTAGTGAAGACAATGACTTAAGTGCACTCCTTCCCATTTGATAAACCTTATATGTAATGTACATCAATAAACAGTAAATAAATGAGAATCTCATAATGACGTGCATACATACAGTAATTTTACAAGTTAGAATGAGTTTGTGATAGTGCTTACATGTGTTCTGAACCACGTGGCAAACTATTCATCTTGTAATTGAAAGATCTGGAATTCGGTCAGCTGTGAGTTATTGGAGAGCAAATATTGTCGATGTTGCCTACAAGTGATAATGAGTGTATGATATTACAATATATAATTAACAATATATTACTAACAAAGTTTAATTAGTATAAACTTACTGAATAAAAGGTCTCAGCTCATCATAGTTAAATAGAACGTAGTTGTGTGCTTGTTTGAACTCTATTTCCGACAAATATCTTCCTCTTACATAGTTGTGTGCTTGTTTAAACTTACTAACAATCGTAGTTGCAATTTTTAGGTATGGGTTGTCCAGTATTGGAGAATATTGACAAGTTCCCGCTGGAAGGCACTTCACCACCATCATCATGCTGGGGAACACGATTGATTCTCATTCTCAGATGAGGTTCGAAATAGTACGTGATAAATGTTGAGATCTCCTCAGCAATACAGGCCTCACATATCGAAGCCTCAACATGCGCCTTGTTCTTAACCTTTTTCTTAAGATTAAACAAGTACTTGCAGTTAAATATTAATCAAGTATTTTCAATTAAGAAAAACATATAAAATACTTTTATATATGAATTACATTGCAATTGTAATATCTAACCGTTCGAATGGGTACATCCATCTATATTGGACCAGTCCTCCAGTTTTTGCCTCGAACGGTAGATGTATAGGGAGATGCTCCATTGAGTCAAAAAATATGGAGGGAATATCATCTCAAGTTTGCATAGTGTTCCGTCGGTGAAATAATTACACACAGTCTCACTGATAGAAAACATCCGTCGGTATAATAGTCGTCGGTAACTCCCACTTCCATCGTTAATTCTATCATAAATTAAAAAAAATTTTCCCGTTGGAACATTACTGACGAAATAAATCCGTCTGGAATTTCAACGGTAATTACTGACGGACTATTCATCAGTAATTATGGCATCGGTAGTAATTGTTTGCCAACTCTTTGTGAAATACTGACGGATATTATCCGTCGGTAATACCGTCAGTGATTAAATACCGACAGAATATATGTGTTGGTAATTATGGCATGACTGGTAATTGTTTGGCAACTCTCTATGGAATATCGACGAATAATATATGTCGATGTTTTTGTCGGTATATATTTAAAATATAAAAAAATAATTTATTAATAGTAAAAAACCTTAATAAACAAATAAAATTGGATTAAACATTAAAAATATAAAATTAATGTTAAATAATATTCATTACAAATTTAATGTGTTTAAAAAACAAAATTAAACTAGAATAACGACGGAGCTAGAGGAGGAGGAGGAGGAGGTTAGTTGTTCCCGGGACCCTACGGCCAGAAAGGAGCTATATAAGTATCATCACCCATCTTTGATCTCATCTCCATGACTATTTGACGGAGATCATCATAATTCATCAAGAGTATTGATATTGTTGTTTCAAGGCAATGAACTCAGATTGGGTATTCAATACTGATGGAGAGCTTCCAATAGTTAAGACACTACGAGCTGAACGCAAGTTTTCAACCGTAATGTTGGAGAGCCCGTAGACCCGATTTTTATTAGGTTCAAAAAACAATCCCGCCTCCATCCACAAATCTGGATCGAGATTTGGATGGGTCAAAGGATGGTCTTCATATCTCTCCCTCAATCGGTTATTATAGGTCTCCTGAAAATTCCGTCGGTAAAAAAATCATCAAATGCAATTCAAGATGCAATTCAAGAAAATAATAACTTACAAAATAAAATGAATGAACAAACATACCACGAAGTACTGAGCATGATTGTCCATGAACTACTGCACCCCCTTTTAGCGGTCTTGACTCCGCACATGCGTCTCTACAAATAGCTCCATTGGACTAGGCTCACGTCCAAGAGACACAGCCTGTAAAGAAAAAATAGGTTGAAAGTTAAATATATTATAAGGAACAACAAATTAATTAATAATATATTTCATTAAAATTAATCTTACCATCTGCTTTGCATGTGCGCTGACTGGGATGGATGCGTCAGTGTGCGTGGTCACCGAACAATGAATTTGCTGGTTTTGATTGTCGGCGCTGGACTGTGAGCGCCTTGAGAACCACTCTGAGGTCACGTGCCAAATATATGTCGTCCATATTTCCCCCGAGATGAATGGCAGTTTGAATTCCTACCAAACCGCCACCTTATTCCATCCTTCAAGACCGTTATCCTTCACATGTCTTTTTGATTTTTTTATGTCATATAAAAAATCACGCAACCTACTTCCATAATAACAAATTAGAATTTAAAACATAAAATTATAAAACAGAAATAAATTTATTTTTGATGTTACCTAGTTGCCGCGTGATTCTCCCATACCTTCCTCACAACATTGTTGTCCGCCCTACCCCACTCAAATTTTTTCTGTGTATATAAATAATTCATATAAAATAAAAATAGTACAAGATATGAAATTATAAAAATCATTTGTTAAAAATAAGCTGGAAATTAAAAATTAACACCGACCTGAAATCGCTTAAACCATGCATCGATATTAGGTTTTTACTCAGGATGTCTGGAAACCTGGCCCCATTGAAATAATGGAATCTCCATCGACGATTTAAACGCCGATGTTATAATCCTTGCAGCCTCAATGTTTGTGAACCTGAAATTAAATAAAAGTAGTAATATTAATTAGTTGTTCATAAATTATATTTTAAGTATATATATATAAAAAAAACTAAAACCTAAACAAACTTACATTGAGAGGTCATCCTTCCATTGTGCCTGGTACTTACGGGTGAATTGACCCTGCTATGAAGGCACACCGCTTCTGCGCTGTGAAACCGCGCTAGAAGAGGTAGCATCACAAGTTGGCGTAGATTCCTCGTCTTGATCAACACTTAAGGATACATCCTCCTCACTGCTAGAAGAACTAGCTGCAACCGTCTTCTGACGACATGCTGTAGATTTCATTCTACGCATCTACACAAATTTATATGAATAATTACATAATTAACTTCGATTATTTAAAAAAAAATCGACAAAGTCTCCCCTATACTGGGGAGTCTCAAGTTATCGACAAAATCATATTACACTTTTAATTTTATTTCACATCTCGATCCAATCATCCTCGATCTCAACCCAACTCATTATCATCAACACAACATTTTATTCAATAACATCATATAATGATATTCAAGTAAAAGAATCAATTTCAACTATGAACATTCATTGTTAAATTGGTACCTAGAGTTACAAACATTAGATTAAAGTCATACATTCAAATTTACGGATTAATATTACATTTCAAGTTTTAGGTAACTAATTACATGATCAAAAGCAAAAGGTAACTAAATCAATATCATTCTTAACACAATCGACCATAATGGACCTCAAAATAGAAATTAACGTGTACACATAAATATAAAAATGTAATAACAAGCAATAACAATGATATGTAAACAATAATATCCTAAAATTAAGATAAACTAATTAAATGTAATTCTATATTTCAATTAACATTTTAAACATAAATTCAACAATAACAATTATAACAATACAAACAATAATATCCTAAATTAAGATAAAGATTTTAAAATAAATTCAACAATAACAATTATACCAATACAAACAATAATATCCTAAATTAAGATAAAGATTTTAAAATAAATTCAACAATAACAATTATACCAATACAAACAATAATATCCTAAATGAAGATAAACTAATTAAATGTAATTCTATATATATAAATTAACATTTTTAACATAAATTCAACAATAACAATTATAGCAATACAAACAATAATATCCTAAATTAAGATAAACTAATTAAATGTAATTCTATATATATAAATTAACATTTTTAACATAAATTCAACAATAACAATTATAGCAATACAAACAATAATATCCTAAATTAAGATAAACTAATTAAATGTAATTCTATATATATAAATTAACATTTTTAACATAAATTCAACAATAACAATTATACCAATACAAACAATAATATCCTAAATTAAGATAAACTAATTAAATGTAATTCTATATATATAAATTAACATTTTTAACATAAATTCAACAATAACAATTATACCAATACAAACAATAATATCATAAAATTAATAAATAAAATGAAAAAACTAAAAAACACTATAGAAAACAACATAAACACAAAACTAAAAAACACTATATCAATTCAAAATAAATTTGGGAATAAAAAATGCTTACCTTAATATGTGTTGAATTTAAGATTTTATCTACAAACAATACACAACACAAAGAACACAAAAAAAAAATCATAATTAAAGTAAAAAAAATACAAAGATAAAGAAAAAAGAATACATACCTTTTAAAACTACCACCAAAACAATAAAATCACTTCCAAAAGCAAAATATAAACCGAGAGGAGAAGAGAAATGGAGAAGAATAGAAATGAAACCAGAGAAAAAAATGAATCAAATGGGAGGGTTTTATATAGCAATTTTTCCGACGGTATTACCGACAGACATTAATTGTTGCTGGTGACATTAAATTCTGTCGGTAATACCATAAAAAATTAATTGAAATGCGCACCAAAAAAGTTTAAAAATTCCGCCAGACTTTTTCATCCGTTAGTATTTGTGCATACGGACACGTGTCGGACGTGCGTGCGCTTCGGGATGTGCCTAAATCCGTCGGTGATTCTGTTAGTAATATCATCAGTGATAGTGGCACAATCCCGTAAATTTTTCTCATCTCTTTATGAAATACCGACAGGTTATTGGCTGTCAGTGACTCCGTCGGTGAAAGTTGCACAATCCTGTAAATTGTTTTCAACTCTCTGTAAAATAATGACAGGTTATTGGTCGTCGGTGAAAGTGGCACAATCCTGTAAATTTTTCTTATTTTTTTTATGTAACCCTATCACAAAATCATGAATTGCAATCTTACAGCACACACAACACAATAACAAGGGCTGACTATTAAAGAAGAATAAATATTTAATGTTTCAAATTATTACACAACACAATAACATGTTTAGTTAGTCAGAATTTTCATCTTCGTCCTCTATTGAATTGTTATCATCAGCTTCATCGCATTCTTCAATTTCGTTATCATCTTCTTCAACAACATTCTTTTCTTCACTAGTAGAGTTCAGAACAACATTCAACTCCTCTGCGTCAACATTGATTAGTACTTAAAAGTGCATTTTTTATCAAGGTTTTATGTCATCATTTTGCACTTGAAGTATCAATAACTCCTTAACTAAAGCTTGTTTTATAATAATATATCTAATAATATAAGATACCTTTAATTTATAGTAAATGTTCATTTTAAATGCAGGTCTATCACATAAATGAAAGAATTGATTGATGAATTTAAGAACTCAAATTGAAAGGACAAAGAGATGGCCAAACTTAGAAAAGGGATGTCGATGCAACCCAAACCGGAACACTGTTCGGTAATTGAGTCATATCTGGAGCTGTAGATCTCAGATTTAGGTCTACTTTTTATGGATGGAAAGGTAAGACATAGGCCTACAACTTTTATATAGATCCCAAACTTAAAAAGGCCATTTTCAATTCCAAATAGTAGCAACAATAAAGAAGTCCAAATCTATCTTCCAGCCCGAGCACTGTTCAGTGCTTGGCCCATATCTGGAGTTCTTGAAGTCCAAATGATCTGAATTTTTTACACAAGAAAGCTGAGATAATTTCCTACAACTGTAATGTTTTCAAGTGGCTTCAATTTTGATATTATCAATGACATTTTAGGTACACAAGAGAAGATAAGGATTCTCACCAAGTCAAGAGTTAGTCACCCACTCATCAATTAGTCATCAAATCAATAGTTCCCAATTTTGGCCTATAAAAGGAGGCATTTGCCATGCATGTAGGCATCTTGGTTTC